GCCGAAGCATATCTTCATAAAATCCCCCCGGTTACACTTGCTATAGCTAGCTCCCTGTGGTTTTTGTGGGCATGTTAAACAAGGTATCTCTTTAATTTTCTTGAAACAAATATCTAAGCTCTGCTTCAGTATGCCAAGATTTCTTGTAAAGAACACTTCTTCTGTGTTATCAAGGATGTGGGGAACAGTTGCCTGAAACATCAAATATGCTTTTTATGAATCTCTTGCTTTTTTGAAGTTCTCTTTTTAGTCTTCTTCAACTCTAGGATTCTTATGATAATGGAAGTTAGCTGACTGTTTAAGTTGCACCATGTGTAGGTTACACAAACCATTTTTGCTATATTATTTATATATATCGAATAAATATAGAGACAATTATGGAAGTAGGACCTGTATGAAGGTTGCTGGACCACCACATATATCGAAGTATTTCTTTAGGCACTCCTAGACTTGCAAAACTATTGTTCAGCTTGATGGATTCAATCGATCATGGTTGTGGCTTATGATTCACAATCTCAAAAGATCCTTAGGCTTATGGGAGATAACACCCTTGGAATTTATTTATTGAAGACACTGTTTGCTCTTATTTTGGCATCATCACCTATAATTTTTTAAACACTACATACATCCCTCAACTTTCTTACACTTGCTATAGCTAGGTTACCTTCCTTTTGATCATTTCTTCATGTTCACCTCATCGCCTGTTGGTATACAACTATTGGCAACCGAAGCATACCTTCATAAACCCCCCCCCTCTTACAACTTGAGGAAATTCTAAATCATAAGATATCCTCCTCCAATTATAACCCTAAAACCCTAGCTTTTGGGTATGCAAATTACATAAACACACACATGGAACAAACAAAACAAAATTCCCTTCAGAAAATACGAAGTGAATTTAAGAAAAGAAACAATATCATTTGCAGGTGTTTAATGATCTAGAGRCGGGTTGGGYTTTGAGRATTTAAACGATCCGCTCGCTGTTGGCCGCAAAAAGGTTAGGATTGTGTTATTCACTCCCCAATGTATGTATTTCTTCTCGGTGCTTTCTCTTATATTAATGTATATTTTACATGTGACAAAAGGTGTATCATCGTCAATACCTTGCTTTCACGGTGTGTTTTGTTCTGTTTCAATTGACAATGTACAAAGACATGTGACTTCGTATCCATAATGTGATATATTATTTGTATGACATTTCTAACCATATTTGATTTTACATTTTTAATATGTAAAAATAATTTCTTATTCTTTTAATTATTGTTGTATCCGGATGTAATCTTTATTCTTTTAATATGTATTCTATTAGTAAAATATGATTAACTAAATATAAATAAAGTTACATATTTATGTAGAAAATGGACTTCCATTGTTGTGTTGAAGTATTTTCATCACTCAATCAGCATCATGTGTGGTGGAATTTGACGACTGTCAGAGTAAAGTTCATTTGGAATGACATCGAAGATAATAGATTAATTTTGATTTTACTTGATAAAAATGTAAGTCAATCATATTCAATCTGATATCAAGTTGTATAAATTATGATTTGTAACTTATATTTGATCAAAAATATTTTATATAATAGAAAGATAAAATGGTAGCAACTATCCCACACCGTTTATTGGAGTCATACAGAAAAATGGGTTTGGTGGGTAATGTATTTGCTTTAGATCATTTTCAAGTTGAACTAATGTATTGTGACTGCCCGTCATACCAACGATACAATTTCATCCACGATGGCTGGATGATTCTTAACAGCAAGAATACAAAGCTTACTCCATTAGCAAGTGATATTGCAAGTGGATTTGCATTCTATTCATTGGTGCTGTCAATTAAAACTGTTGCGGAGGATAAGACCACTAAGAAAATACTTATTGGTACATCTAAACTATCAATTAAAATTACAAATTTTATTTTATTTTTTTGTTAAACCATATTTTTTGTTTATTTTTTAAGCATATGAATAATATTGTTCAGATATTGTTGGGAAAATCATCGCGTGAGGACGAGTAACATATGTACGTCATAAACATATATTTTGATTTGGTTCATGTGAAATTTTCTACAAGATGCAACATAAGTATATAAATTTTTCTAAATAACACACACACACATACACAACCACACACATATCTACACTTCGTAGTTAACTTATTATTAAAAATTTTAAATGCGTTCATTTTATGAACAAATGGTATATAATAAAGATGAATTTGATTGACACTCCACATACACGTCCTATAAGGATCGCTCGTGCAATCAAAGATAAATCTATAATATATGTATTTCGACTTAAACTTATCCATAAGAAGTCAAGTACGTTATAAGTTAATATCTATATAATCTTTTCTGTGCACCGTTATTTAAAATTAATAAATCTAATAATTTATATTATTTATATAATTTTCAGTGAATATTTTGAGTTCTACAGAGTTAACTAAGATTGAGTTCGAATCACAGATGCCAGAAGCGGATAACATTAGATTGTTATCATCAAATATAAAAATATGTGGATAATCAAGACTATTATCATGTTTTATTCATTTTTTTTGTTATGATAACCTTTAGTGATACACTTTTGGTAATGACCTTTATTTTATATTTGGTGTGATTACATTTAGTGATGATATTTGGTATTTGGTGTGATTGCATTTAATGATGATAATGATAATTTTTTTAACATCCAAATAATGAATAATGATAAACGAGAAATTATATTTTATTCATTTTATGTATTTTTACATTGTAAAATGAGGATTATTAATGAGGATGTAGATGATGAAGATGACAATGGTGTTGTTACACAAGTTGATCTAGATTTGAAGAAAGGTATGTGTAGTATGTAGAAATGGAACTAACTTTATATTATTTATGTCTTTATGATATACTCATTTAATATATACATTTCACGGAGAATCATGTTCTTACCGAAAAATGAAAATAATACAATCGAGACTATTATGCACGACATAAGGATATTAACAAAAGGTGAAAATTAGCTAACGGCGAAGGAAGTAGTCAATCTACAACACATGTCACCAATTTCACTGCAACGGACACCATACCAGTTAGTTCAACACCTGTCACCAATTTAGCTGCAGCAGATACAACACCAGTTAGTGCAATAGTCCTTGCTGAGAGAAATAGTCAATCACATGTCACCAATTTCAATGCAACGGACACCATACCAATTAGTGCAACACATGTCACCAATTTAGCTGCAGCGGATACAACACCAGTTAGTGCAGTAGTCCTTGCTGAAAGAAGGAGAACTTATAATAGAAATTATTATCTACGATGTAAGGAAAAAAAACATAACAACAAAAGGTGGTAACCCACATACAAACATTGAAACATTGACAACTACCATAGAGAACAATGAAGTGATGGATGTTACAGGTAAAATCCATATCTTAATATGTATATTCAAGCATCAAATTTGTATTATTGTAACTTCATATATGATGCAATTTAACTTTTTCCAACAGAACTTTTATGGTTTTGTAAATTATTATTTAATTTATTTTTTACATTCTTGTATTCAAAGATATAGTTCTTTAATGATAACTATACTTTTACATAGGTTTAGTTCTTAAATGCTAACCATATTTTTACATTCAAATGTCCTAGATGTAGAAACCTCTACTGAGGTCATTGTCAACTCATCGAACCGAAATGACACCCTCGAGAAAGATCTATACGATTATATTTACAGGCGTATACCTAAGGAACATCACCTTTTGAATGAACAACCTGCATGTACTCATTCCGGAGCAAAACGATTCAAGTTTGAATTCCCTTCCTTCTACTGCATGAGTGGGAAGACAAAGTTAGCATACTCTCCCATTCCCGAAGAATTATACAATCTCTTCACATCATAATCTGAATTGGACAAAATGTTTAGGCACAACATACGTGCATACAACACGAACTTTTCTTTCACATCGATGGGTGTAACTTTGGATGAGATAATGAATAATATGACATATGGTGTATATACTTTTCATACACATGGAGGAGTATATCATAAAATTGATCAGTTAGTTCCAAGGGATGGACGACCTAGGTATTACAATTATATTTTATGATGTTGAGTCTGAGTTTTCACATAGACTCCAATGACCCAATCTTGATAGAAGTATGATTGACATTTTGATGCGTGTTCTTGCTACGAATCCATACGTGAGGACATTTCGAAGCCTTGCAGAATTAGGACCACTCGAAAATTATAGAGTCACTTTGAATGCACCGGTGGAACTTGACCAGAGGGTATACAACCGATCGACTACATCTGAGGTTTGAATAAAAACCTTTTCTTTTTTATCTTATAAACACATATGATACATAATATAGACTATACTAAATAATCACATTATTTAGGTTGCTAGTATTTGGGTTGAAGGCAATGCCAACATCACTACATATAAGAGAAGTATTGTTGTATACGGGAGGTCTGACTATAGCCAAGAAATTCAATCTCACCTCGGTTGTTACGATCCATTGTCTTATCCTTTGTTCTTTTCAAAAGGTGAGTATGGGTGGCATTCTAAAATTCCAAGACATGGAGTGCCTATCGGTGAAGTTGTTGATGACAACGAAATCATGGAGGAAGATTCTGAAGGTATAAATTCTATCGCATATGTTAATATATTATATGAAGTAACTAATTAGTTTTGAAAGCATACATATCATTAATACACAGAGACTTATGCAAGGAATACTATTGTTACAAGTTCCAGATTCGTTTAAACGATAATGTGATTCTATTGGGGGGAAGATTACTACAACAATTCGTGGTAGATACCTACATCAAGATCGAGACTTCACATTTGCGTTTCTGTGAACTTAACCAAACCAAGATAAGAGCGGATTTATATCAGGGCATTGTGGATTGTGTTAATGCCGGTGAAGTTCAACCAAGTAGAGTTGGGCAACGAGTTATGTTGCCTGCAAGTTTTATAGGAGGCCCATGTGACATGCAACGATGATTTTTGGATGCTATGGCTTTAGTTCAAGATGACGGAAAACCCGATATATTCCTTACAATGACGTGTAATCCAAAAAATTTAGAAATTCTTAAAGAGCTGTTGCCCGGTCAGATTGCACAAGATCGACCGGACCTTGTTGCAAGAATTTTTCGTGCCAAATTAGAGGATCCCAAGGACCAACTCTTCCAGAAGAAAATCCTTGACACTGTCAGGGCAAATATTTATGTCATCGAGTTTCAGAAGCGTGGATTGCCGCATGCACATTTCCTCATGATATTGAGACCTGATGACAAAATGACCAATCTAGATCATTACGACAATATTGTATGTGCTGAAATTCATGACCCAGCAAAGTATCCTAAAATGCACCAGTTGGTTGTCCAACACATGATGCATGGTCCTTGCGGTCATTTACGACCGTCCAATCCTTGCATGCAAGGTGAGCCAAAAATCTATGGTTTTAGATATCCTAAACAATTCAACGATAAGACATCACAGGCTGAGAACTCTTATCCGTTATACCGGAGGGGAAATATTGGAAGAGATGTGAATGTACGAGGCAATACACTGGATAATAGATGGGTTGTCCCATATAACCCAAAATTGTTAATGATGTTCAACTGTCATATTAATGTTAAGGCTTGCTCAAGTATAACATCTGTGAAATATCTCTTCAAATATATTTACAAGGATCATGATAAACAAGTTATGCATATAGATCCAAACGAAGGACAAAGTGTTATTAATGAGATTAAAAGGTTTCAAGATGCGCGTTATGTCTCCCCCGGGAGGCAATGTGGCGGATTTTTAGATTTGCGCTTTCTCAAATTCAACCTTCTGTGATGGATTTGCAAATCCATCTCTCTAATAAGCAGATGGTTAGGTTCAGAGACGGTAATATAATGACATATATTGTTGCTAGAGCAAATGGTAAACGAACAATATTGACTGCATTTTTCGACAGAAATAAAGAAGACGAGAATGCAAGACAACATTTATATAAAGACTTTCCAAAACATTACACATGGAATGCGAGCGCACGTTGTTGGAATCAGAGAAAACAAGGATCAATGATAGGACGATTGGTTTATGCTAATCCAACCGAAGGAGAGCGGTACTACCTACGCCTACTTTTATCTCATATTAGTGGGCCTACATCTTTTAAAGATCTATTCACAGTCAATGACATATTATACCCGACATTCCGGAAAGCAGCACTTGAGAGAGGCTTAACAGAGTCAGACGATAACTTATCACAATGTCTTGCATATGCTTCTTTATTTCAATTTCCCAAAGCTCTAAAGAGGCTATTTGCGACAATATTAATTTATTGTGAGCCAGGAGATGTTCGCAAGTTGTGGGATCAGCATTATTATTCACTTTTAGAAGATTTTAGATGACAATGCGAAAGTGTTGACCGAGTTCGGAATATGGTCCTAACTGACATCACTAGCTTTCTACAATCTATGGGTAAAAATCTTGATGATTTCGATCTTCCAAAGATAAATGTAGATACCAACTTACAATTTGGAAGTTTTCGTGAGGTACAAGAGGAATACTCCATAGTTGTGGAAGACGAACATTTACGTGCCCGAGAATCCCTTAATTTCAACCAAAAATACACATATGATGAGATCATGAAGCACGTAAACAATAATCGTTCAGGAGTGTTTTTCATAGATGGTCCAGGGGGACTGGAAAAACGTATTTGTACAAAGCATTGCTTGCCAACATTCGTTCTCGTGGTCTCACTGCTCTTGCCACTGCTTCTTCAGGTGTTGCAACTAATAATATGCTTGGGGGAGAACAGCTCATTCCCGATTTAAAATTCCCCTTAATCTTGATAACAACTCCATGTGCAACATAAAAAAACACTGAGGGACTTCTCAATTGCTACGAGATGCAAAAATAATCATTTGGGACGAAGCGTCAATGGCTAAGAGGCAAGCGGTGGAGGTGCTTGATCGAACAATGCATGACATCACAGGGGTAACACTACCATTCGATGGAAAAATAATGGTTATGGAAGGTGATTTTAGACAGGTCTTACCGGTCGTGAGACGTGAAACCCGTGCACAGAGCCTACGAATGTCACCTCTTTGGTCTTCAATTAAAAAAATACGTTTAACTCTCAATATGAGAGCACAAAGTGATCCATGGTTTTCAAATTTTCTATTACGAGTGGGTGATGGAAATGAAGACATGATGGAAGAAAACTTTATACGTATTCCCGATAACATGACCATTGCCTATACTGATAAAGATAAACCAAAACATGATTTAATTGACGCAATAGTTCCAAATCTGCAAATCAACGGAGCAGATTCAAACTATATTATTTCGAGGGTGATATTATCAACAAAAAATGAGAATGTCGATAAGATTAATGATCAGTTGATTGATAGATTCTGCGGCGATGAAAAAGTTTACTACAGTTTGATGAAGCAGAAGATGACAGAAATAACTTCTATCCAATGGAGTTATTAAACTCGCTGACTATTAGTGGTTTGCCCCCACATTACCTCCGGCTCAAAATTGGATGCCCAATAATACTATTGTGAAATATCGATCTCTCTAATGGCTTATGCAATGGCATCAGATTGATATGTAGAGGTTTTCAACAGAACGTAATCGATGCAGAAATAACTATTGGTCAGCATGCTGGATAGAGAGTATTTTTACCGAGAAATCTCTTTGTCTATCTGAAGATAACATGTTCCCCTTCAAATTGAAGAGAAAACAGTTTCCAGTCCGGCTTAGCTTTTCTATGACAATCAATAAAGCTCAAGGACAGACCATTCCTAATGTAGGTGTGTATCTACTAGAATCAGTATTCTCTCACGGACAACTTTATGTGGTGTTATCAAGAGGGACATCACGTGAAAATACAAAGGTATTGGGAAAGCCTGCCAAAAAATTCAATTGGGACGGAGTCTACACATCAAACGTGGTGTATCAAGAAGTTTTACGCGATTAATAAGGTACAAACGAGTACTTATTATTACACTTTTTTTACAACTACGCTTGGTATATATCTATTATAATCATAAGACATTTCTTACAGGGTATATCAACATATGGATGCTTCAAGTGGTATCTTCTCATACTCTGTATGTGTCGATTTGTATTATTTTAGATGATTATATCTTCGTTTTGTTTAAACATGAATTTTGGTTTTTCTTTTGTTGATCATGAGTTGCATTAAGTGAAAATCATTATAAAACAATCTAAGAATACCAATTGATATGTGTTTGGAAATCCGTTAATCGTGCAATTCTCTTTCCAAATCTTCGGTCATCAACCGTTATAAAATTTGAATTTTATAATGATCATAAACGTCATACCTACAATTTACAAATAAACATTGGCATCCAGCCGCATTGGACGGGTATCCAACTAATATATATATATATATATATATATATATATATAGACTTAATCATTTGAATACATTATGAACACAATGAAAACAACCTTAAGAAATTTTGTACTAGGGTTTTTATGATGTGTTCAAAAGTGGTAGGTTGAGATCTAGTTTGTTGTTTTAGTTGATATTTAAAAGTTATACCAAATTTCGTAGATTTAGAGTGTGTTACAAATTATAATAATTTCTAAAAAATGTTCATAAATTTTTACCTTGTGTGCATATTTAATTGTGGGTTGTGTTGTTTGGTTTATGCAACCTCAAAATTCAATACGAAAATAGACTTTAGTGCAAGTATACACCTTGATCTATTATCATTTTTTTCACAAGTTATAATGGTAGAAGTACCAAATATCGTTTCCATAGAGAATACTTGCAAAGTTCTTCAAAAGTTTAGTCTTTAAAAACTAATTTCAGATTGCGAATTTGAGGGATTTGTTTGATCTAAAACTTGGGTGAGTTAATTATTAACTAAGGAAAATATCAATTGTAAAAAAAAGTACATGGTGCAAAGGTATGTTTAAACACAAAATAGACAATCCAACATAAAGGTAATATAGCACTCCTGTAACAGTCCTATAGTATTACTGAATAATACTACAGTACTGTCATGATATCAACTATAAGAGCAGACGAAATAGACTCACCTTAACCTGGGTGAATCTCAGATTGACTTGGTTTGCCTCTTACCTGACTTCTCCCTCGTCCTCTACCCCTGTTTCTTCCCCTGCCTCGACCTTCAGAAACACTGGTCGGAGCATTAGCAGAAGAATCCTCTCTATCGTTGGGGTTGGGGCGTGTGATCCTTTCAGATCTTCTAGATTGACTAACCATCTGCAGATATTTAATATTAATAATCACATATTAAAATTACCAAATATAGTAAGGTATACAAGTACATATATGTACCTATAAATTCATAATTACATTGGCCATTTTAATTTGAATTTACCTTACATATTGTTCTCTTAACCTATCATATTTATTCCCAATGGTGATATCAATGTTAGGGACTCCTTAATATGCAAATAACAGTTTAAGTCTAGGCATCATGCTTTGAATACCTAAATCCCTTAAACTCGGAGCTTTGATACCACCTCTGGAACACCCCATTTTCCACATGTGCATGTAACATGTACTTCATATAAAATAAATACAATTTACACCACAAAGGTCCCACTAGTACAAGAAACTTATTTACAGAATTTACAACTCAAAAATTCCAAAATAATATTCTTGTATGGTCACATGTATAACAACATGTATCTTTAAAACAGTAGATAAGCATAATAGGAAAATAATCACATTTTTCTCTTCCCATTATTATCCCCTAGCCGGACCTGCAATGCATATTTTAAAATACAAAATGAGGGTTAAACCAGAAGGTATAGTGAAATAACCCTTTCTTTCCAATTACAGGGTGAAGATCACCAAAACTGTTTAAAAGTCACATTTGAATCTCCAACAACTTTAAATTAAATATAACTTCAGTAAAACAAAACTGTACGTTATAAAATGATCTTACCACATAAGAAGATTAACCACTCAGGTTCTCACAAACATCTGAAATACATCTCTCAAAACTCACAAGTCACAACTAATCAGAGTTTATGGTCTCAACCTCTATGATCATATAAAAGAGTAACAATAAATAACAATCACCAGAGTTCTTGGTTATCATCAAAAACTTTTAAGATACAACCAGGTTTAAACTTAAATAAAAACTGAATAAATAATAACCAACGACCCTCCGGGTTTTATTTCAAATCACCTCTCTTTGAAATACTAAAAATATGATATCTCAAAAATCATTTGAAAACACAGGCAATTAATGCCTCCGGCTATAAGCCATTTTCTCCTTCTCAATAACATCGTTGTTATCATTTCAATAAGAGCAATATTCCTAAGTCTTCATGTCACAAAGAAATGTTGACTTTGAATATTCGCATCTTATGGATGTGACAACAAGAGCTATAATGGTAACCACACACACAATTGCCACCCTTATCAAAATGTACATCTCTCCTTGATATGCCACCCTTATCCTATGGTACACATTTCCTTGATATGCCACCCTTATCCAATGATACACCTCTCCTTGATATGCCACCTTTGTTTCCACCTCAAATCTACAGATAAATCAGTTTTAGCCAATAATGGCTTTAAAATTGTTTCATATCAAAAAATTTATCTCAAGAACTCTCATAGTTCTTAAATTCACTTTTCATTCTCATTCTCATTATTTTATTTCAAAGATAAATTTCTCATCTCATTAGCTTTGAAAGAAACAACAGTATCTTTCCTCAAAATATCAACATTTAAAAGATACAACATACCCTTACTCAACATAAAACAGCTTGAAACTGTTAACAACATTTTGTGAAAACAACTGTTTTATTTCACAAGACTTGGGCAATAATTGCCTCTCATCGGCCAGCACTATGGCCGATGCCCCTTCCTTATCGGATAACATATCCAATCCGGACAACACTTTAAAAGGTAAACATACTCACTGGTCACACTTTGTCCAGTAACAATCCTCTCCGGTCAACACTATCCGGATACGTTCTCATCGGACAACACTATGTCTAGTAACCATTCTCACCGGTCAACACTCTGTCCGGTTAACTACCTCACTGGTCAACACTTAAAAGATAAATATTAAAACCAACTAAAGCTTTGTCCGATGAACATCCTCATGGACAAGCATGTATAATAACAACTCCAAATCGGTCAACACTCTACTAACCCAAACTTTAAACTAATCAACACTTGGGCGATGAGTTGACCAATCCAGACAACGCTATGTCCGATAAAGGCCTTCACCGGACATCACTATGTCCGATAAAGTCCTCATAGGACGATGGGTTAAACCACTTAACTTAGACACCGGACAAGGCATGATCGATAAAGGACCATTACGGACAACATTGTGTCCGATAACAAGGGTCGTTGGATCATGCATTCACTTAATGGGCTTTATTCAGTTTTATTGGACCGTAATCCATTTTATTAGGCTTTATTCAGGTTTATTGGGTCTTAATGAACTTTATTTGGTTTATTAGGCCTTAATTCATTTTAGTAGGCTTTATTAGGTTTTATTGGGGCTTAATTCATTTTATTGGGCCTTAATGGGTTTTATGAGGGCTTTATTCGGTTTTATTGGGTTCTAATTCATTTTATTAGGCTTTGTTCATTTTATTGGGCCTTAATGGGCTTTATTCGATTTTATTGGACGTTAATCCATTTTATTGGGCTTTATTCAGTTTTACTAAGCCTTAATGAGCCTTATTGGGCTTTTTTGGTTTTATTGGATCTTAATGGGCTTTATTCATTTTTATTGGGTCTTAATCCATTTATTGGGCTTTATTCAATTTTATTGGGCCTTAATGGGCTTTATTAGGCCTTAATCCATTTTATTGGGTTTTATTCAGTTTTATTGGGACTTAATGGGCCTTAACTGTTCAGGTTTAAAGATGTCTATGTTAGCCGGGAGATGACGACTATATTTAGGCCTTCCTTTGTTGGTCCGTGGCATAGATGAAAGGAAGTCCCTCTGGAAGCCCGCAACTTGATGTTCCAGTGGTTTCGGGTTGGTGTACCCTTTTAATGTAGCTATACATATAAGGTTATTGTTTTTTACATTGATATAAATATTGTGCATGTAGGCTATGTTCCATTGGGAACCGGAGCTGGATGACATGGTTCGTGATTTATAGACCAAAGCCATGCATAATAGGTACTCAGATTGGAGCGCTGCTCGTGACTAGGCCTCGGCACATGCCTATTCCGGTGCTCAACAGTGGGACGGTGAGGACTTCTCATGGATTATATTACACCTATATTGATCCCAGAGAGGTCTTGGATTCAAATGATTGACCAGGTATTTATCTCTATTGTGAGATTTGTGAACTACCATATGTTTTATACCGACTTATATATGTGTTCTGCTTTTTAAAGGTTTGGGATACTGAGTCTTGAAAAAGAAAATCCATTATGAATAAGGCCAATTTGAACACACAATTTGAAGGGGTGTCGTCTAGGCCCACCAGGGGATCGATCAGTACTGCACAACATCGAGACATGATGGTGAGTATATAATTTTTTTAATATGTAGTTAGTTCTCTATGTTCACTAACAATTTAACCTAATTGTCTAAGGTAGACATAGGTAATGGGTCGTGAACCGATTACTACTAAGGTGTTTGAGCATACTCACTGCACGAATCGAAAGTTCAATCCAGGTTTATCCAGCCAACCTACTGATCCTCCTCAGTTCATTTACCCCAAATCTGCTAGGTATCATGTAAGTTTTCTAAAACCATTTCTTTGGTTTATAATATGTTTGGTAGGTTTAAAATAATATATCCTAATAACCAGAGTGATGCTATTAGTTTGGGTTGTCATTATTGGGCAAACGTTAAGCTAAGTAGATAGGTTAAGAATGTGACTACCATTGGTAATTAGAATACTTTAACTGTTAAAAATAGGCATTGGATATGTTTGTTTTACAGCCGGTTATGCTGCTGAAATTTCTATATATATAACCTCACCCGTTTTTATTTTGGTGAACCATAGGAGCGATTTCAATCGCTTAGGGATGAGCAACAGTATATTACCGACACCCCTCCCCCTGATGAGGCATCTCTTTGGGAGTAGAGTGTTAGAGAACGGAAGAAGGGCCGTCTTTTTGGTTTTGAAACCTCCTAGGATCCCTCATATGCTGTAACCGATAGATGTTGCAGTAGCACCGGGAGATCATATGATATCGGATCAATAGCGGAGATATGTTGGTTATATTTTTATATATTTTCTCATTACTTTCATTACGAACAAATTACTAATTTTGTCGAATATTGAATATTTACAGGTAGCGGAGCCGAGAGAGAAGTTGGCAACGGTAGAAGAGGAGGCACGGCTGTGGAAAGAATGCCATCAAGCCGAGATGGAAGCCGAAGTATAAAAGTAGGACAAATTTGGAGGCCGAACAGGCCAGACAAACTGCCCAGTTAGCCAAACAAATCGCGTCATCGGAGCATTTTGCTGCATTTATTTGGCAGTCAGGATACGTTTTCCCTCCTCCCCCACCTCCCCCACCTTCTGGTAGTTAGATTGTATGAATTGGATATTTTAAATTGTATGAATTGGTTAATTTTTGATTTGTTGACAGTTTTAGTTTGTTATTTTGTGGCCAGGTTTTGTATAAATAAATATAGGAATTATGTAATTATAAATTATTTAATTTTAAATTATTAAAAATTAGTGACAGATTAGAGACGGATTTAGTTTCGGGTCTTTCGTTGAACCGTCGCTAAAAGTCCCTCACTAATCCGTCGCTAAAGGTATATGTCGCTGAAAGAATCCATCGATAATCCGTCGCTAAAAGAATTTGTCACTAATTCCTCGCTGAAAGGTTTCTCTTGCTAATCCGTCGTTGAAAGATGTCAGTCGCTAATCCGTCGTTGAAACATTTTCGTCGCAAATCCGTCGCAATATTATCCGTCGCTAAAAATCCATCGCTGGTAACATTACCTATGAGCTTTTGACAGACGAACGATCAGCGACGAATTATGCTTTTAGCGACGGATCTGCGAGGGAATTTTCCGTCGCTGATACTTCTCATTTTTGTAGTGAGAAAATGATTCAGGTAAAAATCTATCAATAACAATATTGTTATATATCAAATTAAAAAGAACAAAATACTTAATTTTATATAATTTATTTAAATTAAAAAAGTAATTATACTTAAAATAAGATGTTTATCGTGTATTTAATTATGTTTATCTGTTAGTTATATAATTCAAGACGAAGTATCATGTGAGAATAAGAGTTAAGATAAGAAGCGTAAATAGAGATCTGGACCCTTAATCACTTTTAATCTCACTTCTACTTTATGAACAACGCTTATCATGAGAATTGATCAAGTGCATCTGGATGCACCAAATTAATGTTGATTTTCAGTTACGATGAGGATCTCTTCTTATTATAACTTCCATTCACTCAGGAAACCCAACCCGTAAATCTTTAAAAAATATATCACTAATATATAATCTTGAATTTTGTATATAGAACTTAATTAGTGATATCTATATTACCTTATAAATCAGATTTAGAAAAAATCTTAAAAACAACCTTAAATGCATAAGTTACTACCTTTTAATGCATACGGTCTTAAAGTCTTAAAAATAACCTTAAATACATAAAGATACAACTTCTTTATGCATAAAGTCTTAAAAGACTTAAAAAGGTTGATGTACAAGCTGTTAATGAACTCAAAGTTTAGATTTCCAATACCAAATATTTTTTTACGAGTTCATCTGCCCAAGAACCGCCCCTCCCGACTACGTTTTCCTTGTGACAATTCATAAATTCATCTTCCCAAGATGGCCATTCAAGCACCCCAATATGATGATTTCATGACTCTACATCGGTTAGGGTTCTCTTGTATTTTTGCTTTCTTCTCCTAATTCGATTCCATCCCTCCTCTCATCCGGTTAGAATTCTCTTCGAAGTAACTACTTGTTTCTTATAATCTAGCTTTATCAGCTACAATCCCTTCTCTCTATCCCTGGCGAAAAGGGACGGTGAGTCTTCAAATCTTCAACGAAACCTTTATATATGTTGCTTCTTCAAATCGTTACTCCTTACTTTTACTTATCAAAATCGACAATGGTACCGGTTCCAATCTCAACATCTCTCAGCGTCAATTGAAAACTCTCATATTTCATTCTCTGTATCTCTAGCAAAATGGCAACGAATTCGACAATGAGTCTTCACATCTTGAATGAAATCTCTTCTTTAAATTGTTACTTCTTACTCACTTATCGAAATCGACAGTGGTAGTTTAGGTTACTTCTTACTGTTACTTATCCAAGTCAATGGATGTTGTTCGTTTTCTGGTAGTTCATGTTGTGTTTTTTTTTCCCGATTACGTGTTTTTGTTCTATTTCTCGAAAATTACTGTTTTTAAACTTTGTTTGCAATTCATTGTTGTTGGGTTTACTGTATTTTACCTTATTGATTCCGTTTTCGTTGTATTTTCTAGGATGTTCGTTTTCTTTTGATTTTGGTATTCCGTTCAGTATTGGATCGAAGAGAAGGGGATTTTCTTTGTCTCTATTGATCTCTTAGTAATAGGATTTGTGAGTTTGCAATCGACAAGAATAAGGGGGATTTTCCTTGTCTAAATTGGAAAAGAGGGGAAAGGGATTTGAGGTCCCAGAATTAGGTAATTGGTATTTCCCTTTTAGCATAAAAATGCTTATTAATAGCAATTGAAACTACAAACTATAATTGATATAAAAAAATCTGATAGATTACTACTTGGTATATGTAGCAATTAAGTTTTAAAATCATCCATATTTAGTTATGCATATTACTTTCTTGTTGGAATGAATTTATGTTTAATTAAAACTAATTGTGATATTTAAGTGTGTTTCAAAACCATGCTTTATCATATTTAGTGTTTCTGCATATAATGTTATCTAGAAGAACCAGAAAGGAAGGTATATATATTGTCTTTATCTATTCAAGATTATGTGATATTTGTTTCTCAAAATGATTAAAATAAGTTGTGTGTGTGTCATTAATGACTCAAGGCTTAATGACTTGATTGTTCTTGCTAACATCTTTTAACTTCTTGTGATTTTTGTATGTTGAATGCTTGCAATGAGAGAAGAATGAAAATACATTGAAGAAAAGCTGGTTGTTAAAATAATGTTTTCTATAAAGTGATACGGGAATATGCAAAAATTTACTCTTACTAGAACTGGATTTTCTGATGCATGTGGACAGCTTAAGTTTGACGTTTAGTTTAAAGAAGTATCAGACTACATACACCCTTGTGATGACCTTAGTATGTATATTCTTCTTCCCTTATTTTAGGTTGATAAGCTTGGCAAGGATTCTCTTGTGAACTAAGACAAGATGTCTTCAAAATAGTTGGCAGGTGATTTGACTTCCTTGCAAATTTGGTAAGCTTATTTATTTTATTAAAAATGAAATCTTTTTGGTTAACTCTTTTCTTACATGTGATGAAGTTTCTGACATTTTTGTAGTTTATCAACATTCGGTATCATGGAGATAGGTTTTGTTGTTTATTATTGTTAACTTCTTTTGAACATACCCCCTTACATTTTCTTCAAACATACACACTTTACATGAACCCTCTAGGATCGAGAATAAGAGGATTGCAACAATCACTATAAATCTTTAGTGCTTGTATTGGTTATAGCAATGCAACTTGAACTATCGAGTATAGTCATTTAATATCAAAAGATCTTTTCAATCATTTAGATGGTGATTTTACGTCTAGGTCCTTTAGTTTTGGTAGTGGTTCTGCTGTTTCTGTTTATGCATACTTCTTAATTTAGAACAAACCTTGTTTTACAACAATTTTTCTATTCAAATAGGAGCTTGCAATTTGTTTCTTTGTTTACAGTTTGCTTTGTTTCCACCTTGGCTTCCCATAACCAAGTTAATAACAATAATGATCAGAAGGGTCAATTGTCCAAATATAGATGATGAGAAATAACAACATTTTATTAAGTACCTTATTAGATAGCAATTGGCCAAAGTTATTTCTGCATTCCATTCTCATTTCCATTATTTATTTCTGCTTACCTAAATTGTTTTGTGTTATTACTATTTTGTGTTCTCATGTTCCCACCAGGTGTTTGACACACTGTGTTTGAAAGGGACCATCACTTAAGAAGAGGACTTACAGTTTCACTTTCCAGGTAATATCGGTTCATCTCTTCTTTGTTGATTCAATCGTCTTAAGATCTTTTCTTTTACATTACTTTGTTTCGTTTCCTATAGCAAACAAATAGAGTTAGTTTTCTCTTTAGTTTGTTCTATCGACAAATATTATTTTAGACCAGAAGGTTCTTGACACCCAAACCGATAAAATTGGTCTATATATCAACAAAGTGAAGACAATGGTTTTCTGGCTGCTAAAACAACCTATTTGCAAACTGCAGATGCTAAGAACGTTTTAATGGCAATTAGGTTCCAATTTTTACCAACTGTCCTCTTTAATTGCCTTGTATTACCATAGTATATGCATTTAATTGCAAAAAACCAATAATATTTGGGAGTGCTAGAGAAAAGGATTTACTTTCTTACAAACTAAGAACCTTTCCTCTTTACAACCATTCAACAGTCATATATGAATTTTGGTGGTATTCTAGATAATTTCGTTTGTGTCTACATAGTTCAAAAAACAATTTAAAGAAATTCATTCACTATATACGAAGCATATTTATTTAACAAATGCGTCAATCATCTCGGAACTTATTTGAGTCCCTAGACAGGGAGGTATAGAAGAAAGATGCAGGGGATATGATAAGTAATAATATTAGAGTTGTTCCGGGTAGGGGTGGCAATTAGTTAGGTTGAGTTGGATTCGAGTTCAACCCATTTATTAAACAGGTTGAAAACCCAACCCATTTAATTAAATGGGTTGAGATTTTTCAACCCAACATGTTACCTAAATGGGTTGATAACGGGTTGACCTATTTACGATTTTCTTAACCTAACCTGTTAAATAAATGAGTTGAACGAGGGTTGACCCATTTAATTTAAAATATCACTGAAATGGTATTGTTGACTAAACTTTAAGATTTGAATGTGTGTTCAATATTAATAATATTACTTAACGATGCATAAGAATTGAGTGTTAAAACAGAAAACTGACTATTAAGATTTGAGTGTGTGTTCGACAAGAGGCTGGGGACTAGAGACAGATGTCCGACAAAGACTCTGAGAGCCTGTTGAGTAACTAATGTTGGACGCCCGGACGGAGAGAAAACTGAGAGGGAGACAATTAGAAAAATTTTGGATGGAGAGAGAGCCAAGAGGAAGAAAAACGCTACACGAAGAGAGAGCCGAGATCGAGAGATCGAGAGGGCGAGAGGCGGACAACAGACTTGAAGAGTTGGATTGGACTTTGGAGGCGATAATGGAGTAATGGACTAAAGGGTTTCTTAGAGCTTCATGATGATTAAGAGTAATGGAGGCGATTGGAATTTGGACTTTCATCTCAAGACGGTAGGATTTTTATTTAAGAATAAAACAAAATTAAAAATTAGAATACTAGATATAATATTAAGAACAAAATATATAATATTTTAAACGGGTTGAAAACATGTTGTAAATGGGTTGAAAACAGGTCAAAAAATTAAACCCAACTCATTAATTTAAATAGGTTGGGCAGGTTGACTCATTTAATTAAATGGGTTGAAAATCTCAACCCAACTTGCTAATTCTGGATTGGGTTAGCGAGTTGGGTCGTTTTTTGCCACCCCTAGTTCCGGATAATATTATGAACTATAAATACCTTTTAATAATGCACAAACTTATAATGGAGAACTATTTTTGGGTCTGTGACAACAGCCATTACAGACATATCTAGACCATCTCGTGTTTCGTTCCACTACAACAAAAACTATAAACAAAATGTTAGTAAGCTAACACCCATGGAAAATGAAGCAAACTGTAATATCAAAGAGATAAAATCATGTATCCAATCATATATCATGAAGAACTATAAATGCATAACCCTCCAACCCACATGCACAACAAGAAATGTTAGTAATAAAAGCCATATCTGGCAAATTTCGACGAATATGCTCCTTAGAGATAGTATAGATTAAAAAATTATCAGTTTTAAAAACTCAACCAGATATAGTATTTAAATATCTAAAAGATATCTGTGTAAGGTCAGATTGCTTATACGATTTCATTGTGCATCTAACAGTGTTAGAAAGTGTTACTGCAACAAAACCAATGTGTAAACATTTAAAAAGAAAAGAAAGTCCACATTAATGGTTGACAAATAACAAATGGACCACATTCATAAACTTCCACATGAAAATTCAGCATATATTTAGAGTTATAAAAATGTTTTGAACTTCTAAGCCCACTCATGTATGCAACAAACCTCTTATGGTTCTCTATTTTGTCAATTTTAAAATAAATGTCAATAAATGTTTAGACCTTTCCTTGTGGTGATTGGCAAGTTTATAATTCTCTTAGCTAAATCTACTTATAGTAATAGTGTGATTGTTACATCAATGATTATGTCAATAGTCGATACCAACCAGCCTTGTATGCATCAAACTAATATTGTCATCAACTTCTATCTGATATTTATATACCTTTGAAACTTTCTTCTCCCTTTTCAATTAAATTACCATAAAGTCTTGCAGAAGCCAATTCAACCAACAACATAGACTTCGGTTTTGAAAATGAACAAATATGTGAATTTACATGGGAGTGTGCAAGAAAAAAACCACAACAAAGAGTATATAGAGAATTAGAAAACCAGCAGATTGATGCCTTCAATCAATTGTTTCAGAGAAATTAGTGTTCAAACCGTAAAACGGTGCAAAGTTTACAATTTTGGTCTTAAAGATGTTATCTGTGTCCCAATGTGGTTGTCCTAACTTTTGGATTTGATTAACTGTTTTGTAACACCAAACACTTTTGTAGATACCATATGTCACTCATGGTTTCCTTTTATCGTTTGTTCCTGATTTCTTTTTGGATTTGATTCTCACAGGTTTTAAGCAATCTAGGTTCATCCAGGTTCGGAAAGAGCTTTTTGATATCTTAAAATGAACTCCAAAAATTCCTTTTATGTCTTGAATGTACGCATGGCATGCTTACGTTTTACTTAAGATGTATCCTGACACATAATAGGAGTTATAAACTCAGTTATTTAGAGCACCTGATATTCCAATCTACAATCACCATAAAATAGCATATTGCAAGATTTCCACAAGAAGAATTATTTAGGTTGATATCCTTCTAAATTCTGTTTTGTATTTTCAAAGGTGAACACCAAACACTTAATGTTTTGTACATGGCTTCTAACATATCTTTTATATTTTTTGAAATCGGTTTTGTATTTTAAGGTTCTCATAGGTTCTATACTTAGAAGTTGCATGTTTTGTACATGGCATTCAATTCAAGTTGCATTTATAATTCACGAGTGGTTTGCAAAAGGAATATTAACCAATAGAACTTTATATCTGATCGATTAGATACCCAATGAAGTAGCTATTTTGAAATCAAAAGTTTCTTTTTCTCTTTTTGCATTTGTGTAGCGAAATGTTCTTGAAATAAAATGCATGCAACATATATAGTGATCATTTGTATGATATGTGTGTCTTTTCTCTTTTTGGTTCAACTATGCTTTGTTCGATTGTTTTTATCTGATCCATTGAAACGACAGATTGTTGCGTTTTTTGAATTTTTTGTATCGATTCAAGGTAATAGTTCTCTGTCTGTCTCATACCTCATGCTTCTTCTTCTCTCTCTCTCTCTCTGTTTTTTTTTTTTGTTTGATCGTTGTTAAAATTTAAAAGTATTTATTGTTAATCTGTCCATGGCTTAGCATCCTTCAAGAGTAGCAATTTAATGTGTATTATTGTTTTATGCACATGATGCCAAGTTATTCCATTGATTTTCTTTATGGGACACCATGAACCATTTAAATGATAATAGGTACCATTGGGGTGCACATAATACCAATGTTTTTTGCAATCTCATTTTGTTAAAGATCAAAAGGTCATTATGCCTTTTTCAATTTCTTATTTATAAATTGCTTTTGATTTTTAATATGAAGTCGTTAAGATGAAGTGAAAAAACATATTTGTTGAAGTGAAATATATATGTCTATAGTATAAGACATAGTATATATGGAAAAACAGAAGAAACCCATTATTGAGATAAAACTTTATCTTTCATTCACATAGGGAAATATGTATTTATAGTTATAATACTAATTTATTCTCTTTTTGTACTCATATTCTTACGTGCATTTATTTGAACTAGAAGGGTACTCGCGCAATGCAGCGAGATAAATCTCCATTTTAATGTTTAGTTTTTATTTTTCTCTATCGATATAATACGGTTTTATGTGGTTTTGAGAAAACGATAATGTTTTTATTTTTAAATTAAATATAAATTTGAAAATATCATAAAAATTTGAAAAAAATTAAAATAAATCGATATTAGTATCAAATTAACTATTTAATAATTATCGTTTTCTTGGTGTAACTTTTTTAATTCAATTTTTTATTATACATTAATTTAGATTTAATAACAAATTAATTTATTTTTGGTTTAATAATATAATTTTTTATAAAGATAATAATTAAACATTATGTTATAACTTAATGATTATCTAATTATAATTTACATTTTTTATATTTATAAAATAAATGTTTATCCTATATTTGATTATGTTTATCTACAGTTAGTTAAACGAATTTAAAAATAGAACTTTAATAGGTTGTACCTATGTAAAATTACTTGTAATATTGAATTTTAAGTAATATACATCAATAAACAATATTTCATACATAGAAAATAGTTTTAAATTTTTTTTATCAAATGCTTTATAATATAGTATAGATTTTATATCCGGTTATATTGCACAGATAAACGAATAGTTTAATATATGGAATGTTACTTTAAAAAATGAAGGCAAATTTATAGAGAAAAATAATTTAATTAAAATCGTAGGTAGATTTATATATGAGTTATTTGTTGTTTTGGATACCGCAGAAGATTTGATAAGCATTTTAATGGCGTGAAAACTCTCAAATTACTTGGATTCTTCCACAAGAAAAGAATGCCACCGAGACATACGCACCATCCTTATCTTTCTGGATTCTTCCAAGAATGCCTCCTTCCCCACTATTTATACCACCTACATCTCCTCTTCTTCATTCATCAACATCATAAACCATCAAGCATCAAATTCACCATGTCCATGTCAATGTCAATCTTCACTCCTTTTGATGCCTTGTGTTCTGAGTTCATCGCACGAAAGCTTCTCGTTTCCAATACCAACATCAAAACTCAAAAAGTTTCCGAGTGTATGAAGATAAAGGACAGCCATGATCATCCATCTCCATCGGCTGACATCAAGAAACCATCAAAACTGCAGATGAAGCCAAGATTCGCCCCAGAGTTTGATGGTGTTTATTGTTTTGAGACCATACTTCCATATTACTAGTGATTTCTCCTTTATTAATTTCATTGAAAATTGTCGATATATATACATAACCATTCGATTCTTTTTTAATCTTGTTTAGTTTCATGGTTTAATTATCACTGTTTATTCGTAATTCAATCTAGCAGCTGCGCATAATCCAAATGTGAAAACGATCATATGAATGATAAAGTTTCAAAGATTCTAATAAACCTTTTTATATTCTTTATATATATATAGATATAGATACAGAACGATAGAAAAAAAAACTCATCATCAGGGGCCTGCTTGCCTCCGTTAGGCTTTCGTCAACAGTCCACTGTCAATACTACAGGCCACCAGCGATTACTAGGAGGTTTTGCACCATCATATACGCCGCCGCCATATCTAAATTCGTTTTCGAAATTTTGCAATCTCCCAAGGGACCCCATATCTTCATGATGGAAGAATGTCACCTCACCTCACTGTCATCAAACATACCAAAATCTTGAATGTTAGACCATCTGAGTTCAAGAAAGTTCAAGAATTGAAGGAAGAACATAATCACCTGATTGAATGAAGGAACTTGAATAATAAAGATCAACACGCAGTGATTTCCGCTTTTTGGGACCGAAGGCCTTGAGCAAGAAAAGTGAGATCCATAATTCAATCAAGAAGCAATAACCAAAAAAGGATGGTTCAGATATAATGGAAAAAGCTTTGAGATCATATGTTGAATTTTGCAATACATACCTTTGTCACATAGTAATAAGATCCTTCAAGTTCCTATATGCAACGTGAAATTGTGTATTCTCCATCACTGCAGTAAAAAGGGAACTGTGAGAGCAACTGAGGATTAGAGTAAAAACATAAACAAATCAAACAAACCTAAAATATCCGAAAAAGAATATTGATCTTGCATCTGGAACCCAGATTGGAGTACAAATATTAACGGGATGAAGAAAAATAGAATTACCTTTCGGATGCAATGTATTACGCTCACTCCATAGTTGCCGCATGTATCATCCCATTTCAGACGAATACCCTGTTGAAATGTATGGTGAGTTACACGTGATTTGTTTTTAAAATGGTTGCATTTCCTATTTATAATTATCCACAAGCTTGATTGAAGTAGTTTCTCGAGATTTTTGATATGCTATATATACGTGAAAAATTCGATATTATTATAATATGTGTTTTGAGTATTTGTGTGTCAATGAGGATGTATTACGGTATGATTTTGTAAAAACGAGCATGCTTTGTGAGCTTGTCTAAGCCGTAAGTGCGGACATGCTGCGTGAGTTCGCCAGCTAATGCTGTGTGAGATAGACATCTCCCATGACATCGTTGCTTTGTGATATAGTCACCCACTATAATACCTTTATTTTGTGAAAAAATATTATTCTCATCAAGGCATGCTTAATTTATGAAGCTTAGTAAAAATTATTTATCGTAAAAGTTGTTGTTCACGAATGAAAACCGTGGGTTCACTGGGTTGAGGTTTACCCAAAACTCTTTTAAATTTTTTTCACTCAGGCGGCTGGCTATTAGAGCGGAAAGAAAATTTGGATAAAGAGAGATATAAGAATTAGCACAAAGAAGGATATGTGCAGATCAAGACGTTGTTATATAAAACAAAGTTATGTTCCTCAAGATTGTAATTTTAGATTGTGATATAAATTGTAAGATTAGACATTTTATTTTCGCTGCAATGTAATGTTTGATCTTGGGATACTAATTTTGTTATATTGAAATATTCGAAATATTTGGGATGTTACAATAAGGCTCTCTAAAGAGTCTTCTATCTACCGATATGAGATGAAAAATGAAGTTTCAACCTCACTAACATTTCCAACAAACCCATCATCCAGATTCCAGAACATGTCCCTCATCCGTTCAGGTGTGGCATTTTCACACTGTTTGTAGGCCGGTTTAACAAACCAACAAAAATAAAAATTCAATTGCTTGCAATTCAACAGGCGCCATTTAAAACTTCAGTTTAAAAAACCAACATGTACCACAATTTAAGTGGTGTTTGGAAGTGCTTATTTAAAACAACCTATGTTATTTTGTAAAGTGTTATTAACTTATGTGGTATTAAATCGGAGTTAAATAAAACAGGGTTAAAATTATAAACTGGTAATAAGCAGTTTTTCATAAGTCATGAAGGATTAACTTATCAAAAATAGCTTATTACCGGTTTGGTATCGGTATAAGCAGTTTTTCTTTCTTATCAAAACACCAACAAACAGCTTATCACCGGTGCCAGACTGAAATAAGTTAAAAAACAGCTTTTATAAGCAATCTCAGACACCCACTTAATATCATACAGAGTTTAATAATGAAAAGAACAATCAAACAGGCCCTGGATTGCTGAATAAATTGGCAGTTTAATGGGGTAGAAATCAGGAAGAATGTACCTCTGGATCTCTTTGCCATGGTTAATAGTGCATACCATGGTGGACCTCCATCTTTCCTTTCCAAGATGCCACAGATGTTTAAGATCTTCATCTGTAGGAACATGGTTCTCCTCTTTTTGAACAATTGATGAACTACACGAATGATGCAAGAATGTTAACTTCGTCATGCAAGATTTAGTCTAGTATGGGGCCGTTTGTCAAACGTTTACCGGGTAATCGCTTTCCAGTAAAAGTCATCGCTCTCATTTACTTTACGGGGTAATATTCCCGGCCATCAAAATAAATTGATGGTAAGGGTTTATAACTAGGTAGGTGCTTACCGTCTAAGAGTCATCACCTTCACTTATTGGTCGATCTTTCCCCACCTTTTTATCGGGAAAAACACTCTCGGGTTTTGTTTTTTTTTTTTTTTGTATTTACCAAGTGATATAGAGAGGCTAGCAAGAACAATCGAGGACGAGCTCAAATTTTCAAAAGGAAGAAAACAAAAGGTCCCGCGGCTTTCCTCACGACCTAAGTCGTCGGAAAAGTCATGCCAAACACTGGAATCTCAAACAAGGGAAACAAAAGGTCCTGCGACCTTTCCTGCTGCCAAGTTGCGGCCTTTCCCACTAGACTCACTCTTAGTCTTCTTGTGGGTCAGATTGGGTTACACTTTTGATTCGAAGGGATTGAGATTTTTTAAACCGTAAAGATTGGATTGGGTTATTAAAGTGTTTTCAACCCGGCCAATCCAACCCATTAACACCCAATTAAAGGTTATTTTGATTATTATTTAGCGTTAGTTACTATTATTATTGGTATTAATTATTAATTACTAAATATTTATTAGTAACTATTTTTGTCTCGTTGCTTATTTTTATGATAAAAATAATTACAATTGAAACAAAATACGACCTTTGTTGAATCATTATACGAATTGTAACATTATAATTTTGTTTATCATTATATTTATTTATTTATTAAGTTTTACTTACCAAATATCATTAGTTATCTATATCTATACTATATTATAAAGCATTTGGCTAAAACTCTTAAAAACTCTTAAAACTCTTAAACTCTTAAAAACTCTTAAACTCGTTCATCCCTATCCGATTTCATCCCATATATGAATTCGTCTAACTAACTGCAGATAAATACAATCAAATACAGGATAAACATCTCATTTTAAATATA